TGATGATGCTGGTTTCGCTTTTTACTTGTTATCTTGTGGTTATGAACCTGAGAAAATGGAAGATAGAAATATAGAAGAATTAAGGGAAAGTTATGAGGACAATCATTTCTTTAAACAAAAAACGCATCTAGAAGATTGAAAAAGTATTCATTTTGGTTTTACTCCTGAATTGACTATGGTTTGAAAGAAACTTGGTTTTCCCCCCAAAGAAGTAAAAGATTGAATAAATATTGGTTTGCAACCGACTGAAGCTAAATTTTGTGCTTGGTTGACTATTAAAGGACTTAATGCTGAACAAGTTTTGAACCACGGAAATTACAAAGAATTACAGGAAGAATACTGACAATATTCATTAACAACTCAACAAGCATAATTCCTTATTTAAAAAAATGAATTTAGATAAATAAATTAAAAAGATTCCTTTTCGGCCGAAAGATAATATTTGCTCAGAAAATAATTTTCCAAAAGCGAAATTAATTCTTCTCTTTCTTTTTGCGGCATTTTTTCCCTAAAATATTTTTTAGTTTGTTCATCAATGTCTCTGCGGGCTTTTCTTCTTTCATCTTCCCGCAAACTCCAATCAGGAATATCTTTATTTAGTTTAAGAAATCATTCAATTAATTCACTAACAAAATTATTATTTTCTCTTTTATTTAACGGCAACTTTTCAATTAGTTTTTTTCGTAATGGATAATTAATATCTTTTTCTAATTCTTGTTTAACTTCTTTATTTTCTTTTTCTAATTCTTCATCCAATTCTGCTAATTGGCTATTTAAATCGTGAATATCTATTTTATTTTCATTGTATTTTTTTAGTAAACTTTGAAATTTCTCCTCCCATTCTTTTACACTAAACCATCACTTTCGCCTAAGTTCTAAATTCCTCTTTATTTTCCCTTCCAAAGCCCGACAACGAATAACCGGATATTTTTTAGGGTCAACGGACATGCTTTGTTTTATTATTTGAGAAAAATCAAAATTATTAAAGTCAATTTCAGCGAAGTTTATTGCTTCTCAACTGGCGTCTTCTACTTTTCCGGCTTCGGTAATGCGTTTTTTTTCTTCATCTTCTATGATTGGCTCATCAGGAACATCAAAATTAAAATGACAACCTAATCGAAAGCACCAATTAACAAATTCCAAATTTTTCTCCTTTTCAACTTTTTCTTTGCCCGCAATATACCACTGAGAACTAAGGGTTAGGCGTAATGATTTAGTTTCCGAAAAAAAATCTTTCCTCGCTTCTTCGGTTTTTCCTACACAGTAATTCCAAGCCTCATCAAAAAAAGGCTTCTGGTTAATTTGTTTATGATTAAAAAGTAATTGATAAAGTTCTTTTTGGGAATGAAAATCATTAAAAAATTTTCATAATTTTTCTATTTTTCCATCGCCATATTCGCCACCCCCACTTTTATCCTCAAAATATTCAATTAATACTTTTTGATAAGTTTCTTCATTTCCCACCAAATCGACTACAAATCCTTGGTTTTTGTCCGAATATTTTCGGTTAACCCGCGATATTTTTTGAAAAAAATTGTGGGGAGCGGTGATTTGTTGGTCTAAATAAATCCTTTCCAAGTTTTCCATGTTAAATCCAGTAGTTAATTTATCAACCACTATAGCAATGTTTAAGTTTGAATGAGGGTCTTTGAAGTTTCTGATATTTTCTTTTTCTTTACCAATAGCATTAATAAGTTCAGAAGATTGATAATGATGCTGCTTGCTGACAATTAAACAAGCCTTATTTTGATAATGAGGGTCTTTTTGTAATTCTTTAAAAAGTCTATGGGCAACTTCAATATTATAAGCCATATACATTACCTTTGGTTTCCCTTTGAGATAATGCTGGCGAGAAAAGTTTTCATAGTCTTTTTTAAAAAAAATACCCATTATCGTAATTCTTTGTGGGCTTTCAAAAAAAAGGTCTTTTCTACTTTTTATGCTTTTTCTTTTGTCAATAAAAGTTTCATCTTTTTGTGGAAAAATTTTAGCAAATTTTTCTTCGTCTCAATGCGTTTCTGGTAAAAATTTGTAGGCTTCTTCATAAATTATATTCACAATTATTTCATTTTGGATGGCTTGGTTGGCGGAATAAGTGTGAATAGGAGGACCAATTTCTTCATAAGTTTTTCCTTCAATGGGAGTAGCGGTGAAGCCTAGAAAAAAAGCCTGGGGGAAAACTCGCCGCATTTCCCAGGCTCAACTTACTTTTTTGTTTTCGGCATCAACAATTAAATTTTGCGAGCGATGAGCCTCATCAATGAAAACAAAAACTCCCGCTTTATTTTCAAAAGTTATTTTATTTTCTTTTAAGTCCACTAAATCCTGAAATTTCTGAACCAGAGCAAAAATTATTTTTCCCTGATTAGGTTCTTTTTCTAAGGACTTTTTTAATTTATTAATATCTTCGATAATAACTAAATCTCCAAGGGTGAAAAAGGTGCCTTCATATTCGCGAAAGCGTTCGTAAATTTGTCGGTCAAGTTCATTGCGGTCAGTAATTACAATAATGGTACAGTCAGCATGTTTGCGGCGTAATTGGTTGGCTAAAAAGGCCATAGTATCAGATTTACCACTACCGGTAGTATGGTTATTTACTCCTCCTTTAAAGGAAGATTTCTCCATAACTCGCAAAGTTTCTTTAACGCAATCATACTGGTGATAACGAGCAACTTTTTTTATTTTTTCGGAATTGAAAACTATGTAATTTTGAATAATATCTAGAATGGTTTTCGGAGCAAAGAGGTTATTTTTCTCAGATTTTCAAGGAGTATAATGAAAAATTTCACTAGTAATAGTGCCAACCAGAAAATCATAGCCATTACTTAAAACATTAAAAGCATTGAGGAGAAAAAGGGCTGGCAAATCCTTCTCATAATCTTTTATTTGGCGAAAGGCTTCTTCTTTTCATTTTCTTCCGGCTCGGGTTTGGTCTTTAAATTCCAAAACGACCACCGGCAAATAATTAATAAATAAAATTAGGTCGGGTTCAAAATAGTTGTCATGTTTAGTGCGAATACGCAACTGCGGAAAATAGGAAAATTTATTTTGCTGAGGATTGTCAAAATCAATAAATTTAACTTTTTTATTTTCCCCTTGGATATTAATTATTATGCCATTCCGCAGATAATTAAAGGCTTCTTGGTTATCTTTACTATTAAATAATGACTCAATGCCTTTCATAATGGCGCTGTCCGTAAGTTGGGGATTAATTTTTTTAATTTGGGGAAAAAGTTTGCTTTCATAAATAGCGGTGTGAGTTTTTTCACCTCTTCCGTATTGTAGATTATCCAAATAAGACCAGTCTCATTCTTGTAATTTATCCAAAAAATCAAGCATTATTTCTTTTTCTTTTAGAACCACATAACTATTTTTACTTTTTGCCAAAATACTTCAAAAGTAGCAAATCTTTGATTTTGCGGTGCAAATCTTTGATTTTGCGGTGCAAATCTTTGATTTTGCGGTGCAAATCTTTGATTTTGCGGTGCAAATCTTTGATT